GAGACGCGCGCGTGGGCGGCGGGAGCTCAGGCGGCGCGGGGCGGCTCGGGCCCGGTCGCGGCCCGAGGCGGGCCGACCATGGGCCGGGCGGGCCGTGGCGGCTGGGAGGAGAGAGAGGAGGCCGGCGGGGAGGAGCTAGGGGCGACATGGCGCGACGCCACTGGCCGGGAGCAGCGGCGGGGTGACGTGGCAGCACCGGATTGGCCGGGACGACGTGGAGGCTGGCGGGGACGTGTCCGGCCGCTGGGCGGACATGTCCGGCGGCGCGAGGAGGGAGAGGGCTAGGGTTGGACTGCGCGAAAATTCGGGTAGGGGCTCATATTTATAGGTAGAGGGAGCTAGGAGAGTCCAAATGAGGTGCGGTTTTCACCCACACGATCGTGATCGAATGACCGCGAGCATGGAGGGGGTTTGGATGGGTTATTGGGCCACTTTGGTGTTGGGGAACGTAGCAGAAATTCAAAATTTTCCTACGTGTCACCAAGATCTATCTATGGAAAAACCAGCAACGAGGGGAAGGAGAGTGCATCTACATACCCTTGTAGATCGCTAAGCGGAAGCGTTCAAGAGAACGGGGTTGAAGGAGTCGTACTCGTCATGATCCAAATCACCGGAGATCCTAGTGCCGGACGGACGGCACCTCCGCGTTCAACACACGTACAGCCCGGTAACGTCTCCCATGCCTTGATCCAGCAAGGAGAGAGGGAGAGGTTGAGGAAGACTCCATCCAGCAGCAGCACAATGGCGTGGTGGTGATGGAGGAGCGTGGCAATCCTGCAGGGCTTCGCCAAGCACCCCGGGAGAAGAGGAGTACTTGGGAGAGGGGGAGGACTGCGCCAGAACTTGGGTGCGGCTGCCCTCCCACCCCCCACATATATATAGGGGCAAGGGAGAGGGAGGCCGGCCCCCTCAGATCCAATCTGAGGAGGGGCCGGCGGCCAGGGGGGTTGCCTTGCCCCCCAAGGCAAGGGAGGCGCCCCCATTTAGGGTTTCCCCCCAGCCCTAGGCGCCTTGGGCCTTGGTGGGGGGGCGCACCAGCCCACCTGGGGCTGGTACCCTCCCACACTTGGCCCATGCAGCCCTCTGGGGCTGGTGGCCCCACCTGGTGGACCCCCGGGACCCTCCTGGTGGTCCCGGTACATTACCGATAGCACCCGGAACTTTTCCAGTGACCAAAACAGGACTTCCCATATATAAATCTTTACCTCCGGACCATTCTGGAACTCCTCGTGACGTCCGGGATCTCATCCGGGACTCCAAAAAACATTCGGTAACCACATACAAACTTCCTTTATAACCCTAGCATCATCGAACCTTAAGTGTGTAGACCCTACGGGTTCGGGAACCATGTAGACATGACTGAGACGTTCTCCGGTCAATAACCAACAGCGTGATCTGGATACCCATGTTGGCTCCCACATGTTCCACGATGATCTCATCGGATGAACCACGATGTCAAGGACTCAATTAATCCCGTATACAATTCCCTTTGTCTAACGGTATTGTACTTGCCCGAGATTCGATCGTCGGTATGCCGATACCTTGTTCAATCTCGTTACCGGCAAGTCTCTTTACTCGTTCCATAACACATCATCCCGTGATCAACCCCTTGGTCACATTGTGCACATTATGATGATGTCCTACCGAGTGGGCCCAGAGATACCTCTCCGTTTACACGGAGTGACAAATCCCAGTCTCGATTCGTGCCAACCCAACAGACACTTTCGGAGATACCTGTAGTGCACCTTTATAGTCACTCAGTTACATTGTGACGTTTGATACACCCAAATCATTCCTACGGTATCCGGGAGTTGCACAATCTCATGGTCTAAGGAAATGATACTTGACATTAGAAAAGCTTTAGCATATGAACTACACGATCTTTGTGCTAGGCTTAGGATTGGGTCTTGTCCATCACATCATTCTCCTAATGATGTGATCCCGTTATCAACGACATCCAATGTCCATGGTCAGGAAATTGTGACCATCTATTGATCAACGAGCTAGTCAACTAGAGGCTTACTAGGGACATGGTGTTGTCTATGTACCCACACATGTATCTGAGTTTCCTTTCAATACAATTATAGCATGGATAATAAACGATTATCATGAACAAGGAAATATAATAATAACTAATTTATTATTGCCTCTAGGGCATATTTCCAACATTTGGAGGGGGGTTGGGTTGCACACAAAAGAGGCCTTTGCGGCTACCCAATTAACCGTTGGAGTATCAAACGGACTCCAAATGGCACGAAACTTGACAGGCGGTCTACCGGTGGTGTACCAAGGCCGCTTGACAAACCTCGGGCCATTCCAAGAAAGTTTAACACCCGCACATGAAAAGAGACAAGGGGACGCCGGATGACATAGGAGTGTCGGATTGCAAAACGGACAACGGGGAAAATGCTCGGATGCATGAGACGAACACGTATGCAAAATAAGATGCACATGATGACATGATAAAATACAACACACAAGCAAATGACATGGCAATGATGGCGAATAACTGGCGGACACCTGGCGCATCGAATCCGGGGCGTTACATTACTTTTCAATCTATATCATAAAAATAGCAAACATATTTATCTCACCTTAATATCTCTATCAGATCTCATCTTCGCAAGTTACCGTGAAGGGATTGACAACCCCTTTATCGCGTTGGTTGCGAGGTTCTTGTTTGTTTATGTAGGTATGAGGGACTTCTGTGGAGCCTCCTACTGGATTGATACCTTGGTTCTCAAAAACTGAGGGAAATACTTACGCTACTTTGCTGCATCACCCTTTCCTCTTCAAGGGAAAACCAACGCAGTGCTCAAGAGGTAGCACACACCACCACAATCCCCCCCCATCGTTCGTCATTCCGTATGGGAAAACAACGACCACTAAGGGAGATAGATTGAGGTGGGCAGTGTCATGCGGGTGCCATCCACTTGACCCTTGAGTCTTGAATTTGAACTCTAAGTAAACCAACATCAAAAACAAAAACCTCTTAAGTAAATCAATGAAGTACACTTAGAAAGGATCTTAAGAAAAAAATATTCCAAATAGAATATCAATAATTGTTGGTTCCTCTCGTCACATGTCTGAAAACAAAATTAGCCCATTGCTAAACTAGAATAACACTTTAACAAATGTCGCGCGATGTGCCAATGCGCAAGTCCTACCGGTAGGTTTCAACAGAGGAGAAGAGGTAGTTGTACGGTAATACACACACCAAGTCACTAACTACTACCTTCCTTTTAATTTACAAGGCACACCTATATTTATACGTCATCAATTTGGTTAATAAAATATATACTATTAAATTCGCATTCAAAAGAAGTTCTAATTATATACTTCATATGGCAAGTACTCTCTCTGTAAAGAAATATAAGAATATCAAAGTAGTGGTCTAAGCGCTCCTATATTTATTTACGGAAGAACTTAGTAATACCTCGTTTCTCCAATTTATGATAAAGAAATAACACGCGTGCCTAACAAACCAAAAGAGAGGAGTATGTGACCAACATCTTGCAAACACCCGAGGATATACTAAGTACTCCGTACTACACACATTACTACAAGAATGGATGACTTGACATGAGTAAACCAACAATATGTCTTGATGATCATGTACTAATTGTTTAGTTCTAAAAAATAGTAATGTACTGATAGTCAAGTACTAACCAGATGTGTTGTGCCTCGAAGCTCCTTTTCTCTCTTGCGATAAAAGGGACAAGCCATTCC